GACAGGGGCGGTGCTTTTCGTGTTTTTCCAGGTTTGATTTTCTCTGACTTGGTTGCCTGGCTTTCAGGATCTCTTTTAGTTTGGGAGAAAAAAAGGGGTCTAAGTTGCATCTTTTTTTGAAAAACAAAACAAAACAAAACATCAAGCCTTTGCTGGTCAGGCAAAGCTGGTCGGACAGCAGAGGCACTTAGAATGGAAAAGAAGCGTGTCGGGGCGGTGGGAATTCCCTTCATCCCAGAGCCCCTTGGAGTCAGTGCAGCTCGAGGACACAGCAGGACCAGAGCACGTGTCTGCAACCTGAGTCCCACCCACGCGGGAGAGACTTGAGATTCAACGCAAAGAGCCCTGCTTCGATACAGCCCCGACCGAGCTTGCGGAAAAGTGAGGAGTGAGCTGATCAGAGTCAGACACGGTCAGGAAGTTGCCCGGGAGGAGCAACTGGGTTTCCTGGCTCAGTCGTAGACTCAGAGACGCTTACCCCTGGGAATGGATCTTAGTGCCAATCCCTTTAAGCTACGAATGGGTTTACCGCAGAGGGAATAATTTGCCCAAAGTCACATAGCAAGTTAGTGACAGAATTAGAGGTAGAAGCCAAGCACCCACACTTCCAGCCAAGCACGTTTCCCTCTAAACCATAAAATCCGCACAGAAGAGGAGGCTGTACTGATTCTTTTACACACAGAGCGGGAGAAGACTGGAGAAAGGGGTTTTGACCGTGGTCTGCATTCTGTTGGAAAATGAAGACTGGAATCCAGGTTTTCTGGCACCCTGTGAAGCAGCGCCGTTGTCTACACGAACCTCAGAGTTTCTATAATACTCAGTGGGTGACATCTGCATTCCCGCCAGAATCGAAGGCAAAGCTATTTTTTTTTTATGACCTTGTGTTTATCTCTAGAAATTCTTAAAAAAAAAAAAAAAAAAAAAACTAAACGTCTGGACGAGGTCTGGACTAGGAATATAAAACGTGAGGCCTCAGATATCTCCAGGTAGAAAAGAGGGAGAAACTCTAAGCAAATGTGGGAGTATCTTCACACTGTCTCGTGGAAAAATAGTTAGATTGTGTTATTTTGTGTGGTTACAGCCCCACTCACATCAAAACCAGAGTGTTCTTTTAAGTCTGAGCTGTCAAAGTTTGGTTTGGAGTCCCCGCTGTGTCGCAAGATTGTGCCGATGTCTGCAGAGAGGGTCAAAGAAATCACTGAATTATGTGACAGGAGCTGAGAGTGCAGAAAAGGCTGGAACTAGTCAAGACTAGAGGGAGTCTGGAAGGTGCCCTGCGACAGGCAGGCCTGGACTGTGCAGGACTGAGAACAGAGAGCAGGAAGGAGGACAACCAGAGGAAAGGCAGAGCCCCAGAGGGACCTGGCCCTGGTCTCCCAGGGAGTGCATGATCTTCTCCTCCCCTGGCCTTGCAAGCTGGCCCCAACACCCATGAAGTGTCAGGCAGCGGCTCTTCATCATGCAGAACATCTTGCTCAGAACAGTCTTAGGAATGTGGCAACAAAGTCCGTTTCCTTGAAGTGAATGGGGAAATGGCTGCCTTTGGTATGTTGCAGCTTGTCTGTTCAGAATGAATTTGGCAGTGTAAATCAGAGAAGAATGGCTGGCTGCATCATTCTTTGGGGGAAGAACTTGGCAAACAAGGCTGATAGGGCCAGGCGATAATGACATTGCCGTGGATGGTGTCTAATATAATCGAGACCAAGAACTGTGAACACACGCCCCAAACAAAGTGCTGTCTCCACAGCGGGTCCCTCAAGCCTTTGAGCTCCCACCTGCCCCCCGCCCCCGTAACCGTGTTTGTTTTTGTTTTTTCTTTACCATATTATGAGAAGTAATATCTTCATTAAAATGAGAAAACATTAAAAAAAAATGGGCTGCAAGAAAGAAAAAAAGAGATGTCCTTTCTGCCTAGCAGTTTCAAGAGGCAAAATTTGATAGGCTTTATTTCTCACTTCTTTTTCCGGTTTGGAAGACAACGGGAAATTGAAACATTTTCTATAGGATTAAATGAAAAAAGCAGGATTTTTTTCCTTTGCTTATTAAAAATTGAATTTTTAAAAGTCTCATTCTTTTGCTTTTTTAAGGACTGGCTAATGAGGAAAAGGCAATTGCAAAAATGCTAAAAGCACAAGATGTAGGTAGTTTCATGACTTTAAACGGGCTCTGTTTTCTCTCTTTTTGAGATCAGCAGTGTTAACAGAGCATATTGGAATCACAGATAAATGGGTTCTGCATCTCTTTTCTTCCCACAGAACTTTGAACGTCTATTGGGGTTTTTAATCACACTCTGCTAATCTCATTTTTGTCTCCCATCACCCTCGCCCCCCCCATACACTGAGGGCTCTTCCCTCCTCATTTATCCTTTGTTCAAGAGAATCTGGGATGTTTTCAGCTCTGCTTCTAACTGATGCCCAGCCCAGGAATCTGTGTCCCTGGGATTGCTGTAGAAGAACACCACTGGAGAACAGGTCACACGGCCGTCAGCGTCTGTGTGTGTGCACGTTGTTTACATAGCAGATAATTAGAAAGTTTTCCTGTAATTTCAGAAGTATATGGGTATATAACTATGTCATGACTTTCTCCTATAAATAAGAAAGAAGCACATTCATAGTATATGCAGTGTGAGTGGAATCATATGGTTATTACTTAACTAACGCATCTCAAAAGTGGAGCACAAAATACTTTTCCCTGACCATTGTATTTAAAGCGGCCTTCCCCCATGCACACAATATCAGATTACTCTGTTTATTTTCCTTCCTGTGCTTTTCATAATCTGAAATTAGTTTCTGTGTGATGATAATGTATTTACTTATTTATTGCTGTCTTTCCTCCTCTAGAATGTTAGGCCCTTGAGGGCAGGAACTTGGTGTCTAGCACACAGTAGATGCCTATTGACTTTTAAAAATATATGTAATGAAGCAGTCAATCATTTAGATAGCGCCAAGGTCACGATGGCTCAGACAGAAAGTATTTGGCTCTTAAAATGATGGAGGCACAAATGATTGGTTGGCTCACATTTAGTTACTATAACTTACTAGTGAGGCCAAGAATAACCCTTTAATGTCTGAATGGTATAACAATTTTCTGGGGAAATAAGAATTTAAAAATAATATTTAAAATGCTGGCTGGACACGGTGGCTCACGCCTGTCATCCTAGCACTTTGGGAGGTTGAGGTGGGA